CGTAGGCCATGCTAAGAAGCTTGGGTTTTATTGAAGGAAAAGGAGAGCAACTAAAGGACTCCAGATGAGGAGTGTCATTTTAGAAAGGTCCTTTGTAGATGCCAAAAAAAAAAAAAAAATTTAATTGCTGGATTCCAAAGAGTTCTAAGACTTCATAGAAGAGATATCAGTCACTCCAACTCTGGATGATTCCAAAACAAATAACAATTAGAGCATTTAGTCACACCTCCCAAAGACCCTTAGCTTTATATGGATAGGCTGTATTTGACTTTGCAGCAAGTTCTTCTAAGTATAGAACATAATAACCACATTCCCAATAAAGATGAAGAATGTATTTATTTTTATAAATATATTTGCTTTCACCGTATTCTTTGAAATACAGTGTATGAGCTTTCCATTGTTGCTGCAACAAATTACCACAAAGTCAGCAACTTAAACAACACAAACTTATTATTTTATTGTAGGTCAGAAGTCCAACACGGGTCTCACTAGGCTATAACAAAAGTGTTGTCCAGGCTGCATTCCTTTTTGGAAGTTCTAGGGGACAATATGTTTCCTTGCCTTTTCAAACTTCTAGCGGGCATTCAGATTCCTTGACTTGTGGTCCCCTTTCTCCATCTTCAAAGCCAGCAAGTTGAATCTCTCTCTGAATATTATTTCACAGTAACATTGCCTTCTGACCACAGCTGAGAATTGTTCTCCATTTTAAACACTCATGTAATTAGATTGGGCCCATCTGGATAATCTGAGATAATCTCCCCATCTCAAGGTCTGCCCTTTTAATTACATCTGCAATGTAAATTAATTTATTCAAACGTTAGGGAATTAGGACATGGGTATTTTGCAGAGGGAGGTGCATTATTCTGCCTACCACAAAGGGATCTGACAATTTCTCCTGCCTTCAGTTGTTACTGCTTGACCAGTGAAAGACCATTCAACAACGAAATATAACATAGTTCCATCTACTTTTAGCTTTCATTTTTAGTTAACTTAAAACATTTAATAAGATGCATATTTATGTTTAAGGAGTGTGTTAAGGCCTTGAATGTGCTCTCAATATCATCAACCACTGCACAGAAGGAAATCAATGAGGAACCAGTGCTGGCAGACCAAGCCAACAGTGCAACTTAACATGAGGATCTGGGGCAGACCGAAGCTGAAGAACATGGCTGATATAGCCCTTTGAAGAATCATCTGAGAGATAGGATTCTCCTGAGACCAAGATAAGATATAAAGATTAAAACAGTATCAAAGCATAAAAAAAGTAAAGAAAAGCACAAACATCCATGTTTGAAATAATCTGATCAATATTATCAACAAGCATTCCCCATCTACCACATATATCCCAAAAGCAAAGCTAATGTATGTTTGTAGTTTCACAGCATCAAGCCTATTGTCAATACCGCATCAATAAATTGTAATAACTTAATCTTACTAAGTCTTCCAGAACCTTGAAGTTTGGTTTCAGACCAAGAACCAGGGTTCTCTGCCCTCTCTGGTCTTTAACCATTTTAGAAGGCTACACATTTTCCAAGACAAGCCCATCTGTTTCAAAGGACCTTAACTTTTCAACATTCACTTTGAGGAGAAAGTAGCCAAACATGCATATTACACAAACGTTAAATCTCAGTAATCTGGCTATACTTAATATGTGTTTCCGGAACACCCAAACAGTCTGACCATATTCCAAATTCATCACTAATTCAACTTTAATTTCTTTTATTTTTTACCCTTTGCTGTGTTGTCTTGAAACTCAGACTGTGTTCTATGATATCAATTCTAAAATAAATGGAAGAGGGGCCAGCCCAGTGGCACAGCGGTTACATTCGCACGTTCCACTTCTCAGCGGCCCGGGGTTCACCGGTTTGGATCCAGGATGCCAACATGGCACCATTTGGCACGCCATGCTGTGGTAGGTGTCCCACATATAAAGTAGAGGAAGACGGGCATGGATGTTAGCTCAGGGCCAGGCTTCCTCAACAAAAAGAGGAGGACTGGCAGTAGTTAGCTCAGGGCTAATCTTCCTCAAAAAAAAAAAAAAAGAAAGAAAGATAAAATAAATGGAAGATATTCTGCTTTGGGGAATGAGGTGCCTTGAGAGGCAGTGAAGTCACTGCCGTGTGAAGTGTTCTGGCATATGGACAATCGTACACTAGGATGCTCAGAGGGGACCCACACATTGAGTGGAGGTAGGAGGTAGATTCTTTTCCAAACCTGAGATGCAATGGTTCAGTGATATATAAGATATGATAATGTTTGGGATGGTTCTGTGTTTCTAGAAAGCAAGGCACCTGAGAAATGTCCCCTAAAGGCTCTGCTCCAGATCAAGTAGCCCTGCCTGGAGGCATATGATGCAGTTCCACAAAGCAGGCAGCCAGCTCTGGGTTGTGATTTGAGATGCACCAAAGGTTGCCTCTCTCCCTGGTCTATGAGAGTCCATCAGGAAGGGAAGGATGTGAGGGGTTCTAGGAAGCCAGATTTGTATCAGCTGAGAGTATGGGAGAAAGACTCCAGGGAGAGGCCATGAGCAAACGAACTTGATGTGTTTAGAGACTGGTAAGACAATCTTGGAGAAGAGCCTATTGAAGAGAAAGGGAGAGAAAGTTGGAGGGGACATTGAAGGTCTTCCAGTGCAATCCTGTATGTGAGTCCATAAGGTAGAGTCAGAATATGGAGGAAACTAAGCGAAAGTTTACAGAGTCTAAACTCTGACCTAAAGGCAATGATGACTAGAAAACAGGCACTGGAGAGGCATGGAGGATCCAGTCTGAAGCCACCTTGGGCGGCAGTTCACCAAAGCAGATTGAGGAAAGACACAGAGGGCTGTGTGTTTGGTAAATGGTGACTGGAAAGAAATCTTAGACATTCCCATTTACTTCAATGGCCTGGTGCTTCCTTTGTTTATTCTCTTTCATGTTCTTATCAGTAACGTTACTTTTGAAAAGAACTCAGTCTTAGCTAACGAGACTCAGCGGAAAAGGGAAGAATTGTGTGTGTGCACACATTTGTTCATGTAGCCGGGCATGTCTGGTTCAGGGGAGCATTCATGCCCTAGAACAGAGGCCCCGGGGCAGAGAGTTGGGTGCCAGGTGGAAGGGACAAAAGGAGAGGGGAGCGGGAGAGTTTCATTATTCCAAACTGGCACATTTCCAATCACTTTTTCTGGTAATAACTTGGCGTGACAGACATGAGGACTAGAATAAAAAGGTATGAAAGGAAGCAGAATAAAGTGACAGGTCAGAATGTTCAATATACAGAAGAGACTTATAGAGAAGATTGTCAAAAAGTGATATGTTTTTGCTTTTACACTCAGTCTGCACCATCCACCAGCATATTCCCTGCCCCTAGGCCCAGCGAAGGGTGATTTCAGTAACTTGTTATACTCCCAGAGACCTTGGAAACTTTCAGGCGCACCAGTATCTGCTGGAAAGTAGACTATAAACAGTTTACTCACTCACCACTATCAGCCACAGTGTTTGAGCATGTACCCCCAATGTCAGTGTATTTATTTATAAACTGTAATAAAAATATTCATTTAAAATATAAAAAATAGAAATCTATAAAGGACGGCATAAAATGGGATAGACTATATTTTTAAACTAACATTTGTATTGCATACACTACATGTTGGGAACTTGTCTAAGCACATTTCACATATTAACTCATTTAAACCTCATAATAGCCCTCCAAGATAGATATTGTTATTAACCCCCAGTTTACAGATGGGGAAACTGAGTCATGCTGCATACAGTAACCCATCCAAAGTCACACAGCTGGTAAGCACCAGGACTTGAATTCAAACCTAATAGCTTTGCTCTAGCATCTGGGTCCTAACTTCTGCACTATACTTCTAATTCTTCAAATGCTAATTGCTATTCTGCTCTGCTGATCAGGATGGCATTAGCCAATCTTTCACGACATGCTGTGCACTTTAGGAGGGGTTAATCATTAATTATAGTGGCTGTAAATCCATACTTCAAATAGTCTTCTTGATAATCATATCTGATTTTCATTGTTTTTTACCTCTTGATATAGCTGACCAGGAGCTTTGAATGAGCCAGGCAATTGCCAGCATGGCTACTTTCTTTTGCTCCTTGTAGATGTCCCTTTGGCATTATCATCAATGCACAGGTTCTTTGTAGAAATCAGTTTAAGCCACATGCTCATGTGTGAGGGGTAGTTTAATTAAACAAGATAATTGACCCTCAAATCCACTTACCCAGGCAACATAAATCTCTCCATGTAACAGTAAGCAATACTCAAGTCAACGCACACCCCGACTCGTCAGAATCTGCACATTTTGTCTAGGACATAATCAGCTGACTGTCATACAGGTTCAATGAGGGCATCAGCGCCAATAATCAGCAAAGCTTAAGAACTTTCCTTTGTTAAGGTAAACATTAGTGAAAGTTAAAAAATTTTTATTTCTGCACCATAAAGGATTGCCTCCTGTAGAGGGGTGTGCATATTCTATTTTAGAGACCACTCCTCTAGTAGAGTATTTCTCAAAGTGGAGTTTCAGACCATCTAGATCAAAACCAACAGGGTTCTTATAAAAATCTGGATTTCCAGGCTTACATCCATATTTACTGAATGGGAATCTTGGGGTAGGACCCAGGAAACCTGCATTTTAGGTGAGTGCTTCACATGATCTTTATATATACCAACGTTGACAGCCACTGCTTTAGATGCCTCTCGGTCCCTGATACAGCAACATCTCCCAAGGTTACAAGGGCCCTTCAATGGCATCTACCTCAACGATTCAGCCCATACTTGAATATCAGAGTAAAGAACCAAATGCAGTGACTCTGACTCACCTGCTCTTGCATAGACTATACATTTGAATACTGCCTTTCATTTTTTCAGATATACTTTGTTTCTTCAGTCTAATTAGGACCTGAGAAATAAATGTGCTTGCTTTTTCATAATATCTGTAATTCTTGATTCAGCACTAGACAGCAAATAGCTTTTATCTCATGTGATGTCTCTTTAATTCCCAGTTGCTACGAGGAGCATTCCATGGACAAGATTTCTGAGACTAAATTGGAGCACAGTAATCAATCTCTGATGTGTCATCAATGTCTGCCATGGAAACCATGTGCAGAAGTGGCAACTCAGGATACGAATGTAGTGACACAAAGGATCCATCTTAACAGTGTATTCTCAAAATGAATGAATATGGAAAGACATCCCAAATATTGAATGTATGAGCAAATCGTCTCTCACTTAGGGAACTACATGCTTTATTCACGCCATCCCTATCTTTGGAAGGTCATTCCAAAAATAAGGTAGCCAAAATATAATGAATTCATACAACTCGATAACAAAAAAAAATTCAATTTAAAAATGGGCAAAGGAACTAAATAGACACTTTTCCAAAGAAGACATACAAATGGCCAACAGGTGACCAACATCACCAATCACCAGGGAAATGCAAATCAAAATCACAATGAGATATCACCTCCCACCTGTTAGAATGGTTATTAGCAAAAAGAAAAGAGATAACAAGTGCTAGTGAAGATGTAGAGAAAAGGAACCCTTGTACACTGTGAGAATGTAAATTGATGCAGCCAATATAGAAAACAGCATGGCAGTTCCTCAAAAAATTAAAAGTAGAGCTACCCTATGATCCAGCAATTCCACTTCTAGGTGTTTATCTGAAGGAAACAAAATCACTATCCTGAAGAGACATCTGCACCCCAACATTCACTGTAGCATTATTTACAATAGCCAAGACATGGAAACAGCCTAAGTGTCAACTGATGGATGAATGGATAAAGAAAATGTTGTGTATATATATACAATGGATTATTATTCAGCCACAAAAAAAGAAGGATATCTTGCCATTTGTGTCAACATGGATGGACCTTGAGGACATTATGCTAAGTGAAATAAGTCAGAGAAAGACAAATGCTGTGTGATCTCACTTGTATATGTAATCTTAAAGAACAAAATACATAGCAATAGAGAACAGATTGGTGGTTGCCAGAGGTGGGGGATGGGAGGAGTGGTGAAATTCAGTGAAGGTGGTCAAAAGGTAACAAACTTCCAGTTACAAGATTAAATAAGTTCTGGGATATAATGTACAGCATGGTGACTATAGTTAACAACAGTGTATTGTACACTTGAAAGCTGCTAAGAGAGTAGATTTTAAAGTTCTCAACACAAGGAAAAAAACTGCAGCTATGTGAGGTGATCGATGTTAACTAGACCTACTGTGGCAATCATTTTACAGTATATACACATACTAAATCATTATATTTTACACCTTAAGCTTATACACGTTTATGTCAATTATATCACAATAAAACTGAAAAAAAAAAAACAAAATAAAATAAGGTAGCTAGAACTTTCCAGATCTGAGGCAATAGCCATTTAAAGGGGATACGTCTGCCAGGTCTCTTTCATGCCCTGCACTTACGAGGAACCTTAAGTCAAGAGCGGAATAAAAGCTATTAGAGACAGACCTTGGACAGCTCCCGCCATACTAGTGATGGGAAACCACGAAACCACAATTTAAAACAAGAAAGCGAGCTTGGCTATTTTTAAAATGGCAGTAGTCTGGAGCACTCCGGGGTAGGGTTAGACATCCCCACATGCCACATGAACTCTGTGTGCATGATAGCAATGACCCTGAATCATGGGAGGTTTATGTAGCCATAAAATAAACTTACCTGGAACCTATAATTATGTTGCATTTTTCATTCGGACACCTGGAATTGCTACACCACCTTCTTAGAGCACAACAAACTCTGATGTGGGAGGAACTGTGTAAAGACACAGGCACACACATCAGCTATGACTGCAGGCTTGTGGGGACTTCGGTCTTCCAGGCAAGCCATACGGCATGAAGTAGACAAAACAACAGTTAACATGCCTGAGTGCATCTGGTTTCTACTGTTTCTCTTATTAACATTTTTGGTAGAGATAAACTGGGTTCAGGAGAAGGAGGTGTTGGGACTTAGAATACTAAGATGGGTTAAATCTATTGAACATGTTTCAGGTTTTATTATCTTGGACTTCTCTGTAGGATTTATTAGTTGCTCCCTCATTATTTCTAATCTGCTCTCTTGGATTCCATGACAATGTGCTTACCTGGTTCTCTTCATACTTCTTTGATGATTCCTGCTCTGTCTTCTTCATGCACCCTTTTCCCTACATCCTAAACTTAAAAGATGGTCTTCCTCACTCTTCTGTATTTTGTTCTCCTCACTCTTGTCTCTCTCCCCTAGATAATCCAATCTGCTTACACTCATGGTTTTAACCATACTTAGATGTTGCTTTCTTCCAACTTTTTTTCTCTAGGCCAGATCTTACTTCCTAAGCCTTAGACTCACTAATACAACTCTCTGTGGGACATCCTGACCTGTCTATTCATAAGTACCTCAAATCCAGCAAATCTCGAACTGCATACATCACCATCTTACCTGCTACACGCAAACCAACATCCTGTCAGATATTCAAGCTAGAAACCTGGGAAGCACCATAGACTTTTCTCCTCTATTCATCTCCTACCCAATTCTGCTGGGTTTATCTCCTTAATATGTCTCAAATTCCCATTTTCCTTTAACACTGCTCTAACTCAGATTTTTATCAGCTTTAACATGTGTGTCAGTAATATCTTCCCAGCAGTAGCCTAGCCTCCAGTCTAGCTTACAAGGTCCTCCAAGATTTATCTCCTGTCAACCTCTTCAGCCTCGCCTCTCTCCTATCCCTGCCTCCCAGCACTAATAACCTGTTTACAATTCCTCCGTGCCTTTGATCATGTTCTCTCTATCTGGAATGCCCGACACTTTCTACATGGTTAAGTTCTAGTCTCTAAATGTTAGCTCAGGGGTCATTTCCTACAATGGTTCTTATCGGAGACCAATCTACCTAGTCTAAGTTTCCATTATCCATAATACTATGTTGCTCAGTGACTACCTGTATCATTGTTTGAACTACTGTGTTGCAATTATCTGTTATCCTTGAGGGAAAGTACTTTGCCTTACCCATGCTGGTCCTCAGGGTCTAACCAAGTAAAAGTAAAAAGATGTTAAATAAATATTTGGCAGTTGGATAAATGATTGAATAAGAGAATCCGGGCAGAATTTTTTATTTGAACATGTTGAATGTTTCTTGGGTTTTCATCTCATCTGGGCCACAAATTGGAAGAGGAAAAGAATATGTGAAGATTTAAATTTGAAGCTATTTATATTAACATTGTGGATTCAAGAAAGTAAGAATGTTTTACTTAAAACTTTTTGGAAGGGAAGGGTTCATCATATCATCATTGTCATTATTATTGGAAAAGCTCATAGCGCACTAGGGACCAAAATAACTTTTTTCTTCAGGAAGGCAATTCAAAAGGAAAAACATAGTCTCCTGCTAAATCATGTGTTTCATTTCTTCCTGTGAGTGCATATTTATGATTGAGTTATAAAAACCTGGAAACCAAAATCTGGAAGTGCCGATCTAGCTTTTACTGGCTCACTCTGAGTTCTTCAATTACCATAGAACGAATGCTCAAATGAGGCTGAGAAAGAAGAGTTTATTTCCCTCTGTCAAGACTATCTGCTTCAAAAGAGAAAGTGAATCCAAGGCAGAAGACCTTCCAGCAGCCATCAGTGGCTCTGAGCATCACCCAAGCTAGTAGCACCCATACACTGTGTTTACACTGCTCCAAGCCCTGCCCCTGAAAAATCAGCACAGTTTTCCATGATGCTATGCTTTTCACCCTCCAGAACCGATGAGATGACTCATGTGAAAAAGTTTTCAAAGGACAAGGTATTATTCTTCGCCAAGTACTCATTGGCTGTCCACTTGAGTACTTGGAAACCACACTGCCCAAAGAAGGAAGCACGAGTTGTCTTGCCTTCTTTAGTCCTGTATGGATATGTGGTTATCTGCTGCTGTAAAAGTGTACCAGCCAAAAACTATCCCACTCATTATCTATTTAAGTGAGACTATCAACTGCCATTTCTGCCAGCTAGGGGCAGAACACTTGATTAAGACATTAAACAGCAGAAATATTTCATTTTGATCCTACTAGTGATTTGCAAATTATGTTTAAAGGACACTAGATTCCCATTGATGTCAACTCCCTCCCAACACACACACCTCCACTAACCCTCCTCTTTCCTCCTGCTTCCTTCAACCTCCCTGTGCAGTTACTCAATGTCTACGTACTCCAGGGTCCCTGAGGGTGCAATGTGGCTTGATTCCCATATCCAGTGGGGATTGGCATCTGGGCAGAGTGTCCTCTGCTGAATTTCTTCAAAGCACAGAAGATCCTCAAGGTTCTTTGAAGATGAACACGCATTTCCTTGGATTAGGGTTTCTCTTTGAAAAATGGCATTGTCTGGCAGGGCCACAGGGAAGAGATCGCTCTCTTAAGGAGAGCTAAGCAATTCACCAATGCAGAGAAGTTCAAGGAAAAAGGAGGAGCTTTTTGAGTTTATTCATTTATTTTTGTACAAATACAATATAATGTAATAATATATACACACACTACACACACATTTTGCCCAGGAATCCAGAAAGTAAGGTACAATTTAAGGGCCAAAGTAAAATAGAAGAGGGAGAACAAAGATGGAAAATTTTGTTCAACATTAGTAATGTTTTGTCAGACAAAGACAACCTAGCCAGCCTTTTCATAGCTGGAGCAAAGAGGAGTTTATAATCACACAGCATTTTAAGCTCAATAGAAAAAGACTGCAAGCTCTTAAGCCTGAGCATAAGATAATTTCATGCCTGCTTTCCATATGCCAGTGCTGTATTGAGGGCTCCTTTGTCACACTTAGCAGGCAGGTTTCCCATGCTGCTCATGTGTTTGTATTGTGCTCTCTGACAGAGCTTGCCTGCATGTCAGCATAGACATTGTCAGAAGCCCTGAGGGCTGAATGTGGAATCCAGCCAGGGGGGGCAAGAGAGCCCAGGATGCCAGGCAGTGGGAGTCCACAGCCCTCTACCCTCCAGCTGCTGACTATGACCACCTGCAGGCTCTGGCTTTTGCAAAAGCAAACACTGCACAGACCTGGCCTTGGGTTTTGAAGCAATACACTAAAACATGGAGCTAGTAGTGACAGTCAATTGAAGTCTAGACCTTTCTGCTGACAGTGTAGCTGAAGTGATTGGAATTTGAAAGCAGTATTTTATTCATAAGGAGGCAAACTGTTCTTGTAACAAGAACAGTCAATAAATAAGTAATCACCA